CTAAACAGTGATCTTTTAGAGCCTTCATAGCCCAGCTTCATGTGTTCGTATCCTTTAACTCCGACAATTTTTCCAGAATTTATGTTTCATGAATGTCACAAAATATGTTCAGATATTTGTGGTAATTCTACCCTTTTGTTTTCATACCTATCACTGACTCCGCCTAGGTCTGAATTTCTCATTCCTTTTTCATTTCATTTTTTCCTTCCAAAGCATCCCGTCATATCTCCGTCGTTCTTGAGACAATCGACTTGCCTCCCTCACCGGCTCGCCATATTTCCGCGCTCCGCCTGTGCCCGTTGCCAGCGTTATCGGCGCGTCCGCCACACCGCCCTGTCGTGTTGAAGAATGGCGCTCCAGCTATCGCCGATCGTTGTCTGTATCGGAGGCCCTGCGGTGAAATTGGGTGTGTCAGGGGCAGCTGCCAGCGGGCGGTGCCAGGGCTGTGCGACGCGGAAGCGGTATGGAAAGAGCGCAGTGGCGCCCAAGCGAGATGAGAACAGGACGAATGAAGTCAAACGTGCGTGTAACGATGGAGGTAACTAGCTGATGTAACCGGATATTACCTGGTTTAATTTTACCAAAATAAGAAAAAGAATGCCCTACATCGGTAATGTAGAACAGAAGCAATATTATTTACGTCCTTGTCATTCCTTTTCTGCTCTACCCAGTCCCAATCTGTCCAATCTTGCACCCACTTCCACCCACCTCGAAACCTAATTAGATTCAAAGGAGTTTAAATCTCCTCCACATCTACCTTTTCCGTCTTTTCCAAAATTCAGGAACATCTGCATCCGTTTTAATAAAGCTGTTTGCGTTTGGAAAAGAGACTGAGTGAAGCTCACTATTACATTAAATATGACATGATTTGTTAAAAATCTCAAGTTATACCGAAGATGAAACTCGGTTGCCTCACGTTATCAAACGTAAATAAATAAATAAACAACTCTACATTCTGCAAATGACGCCTGTTTTCCGGCTATTTTACTGGGAAGATATACAATTACATAAAAGACTGTCAAATAAATGCTTTCAGATACCAAGAACACTATTTTATTCTTGGAATTTCTTTCAACATCTGCGTACGACGTTCTTTAGAGACTAAAATATGAAGGAATATTTGAGATAATAATTGTCTCGGCAATAAAATTCGTGTCAGAGAGAGTATTCACAAGGTCCTTTTTAAATCTTATGAAAGACTATTTGGCCGAATAATGTTCAAAACCATTATCGACATTTGTCGGGCCTAACCACAAACGACTACAATCAAAATCTGCCAGATAAGAAAACAAATTAATACGCGCAGTATCTAATGCAGTTTACATGATCGATGGTATTAAGAAAGCGAGTTTTATCGGCTTCCCTGGCCTATTTCCCAACCGTGTAATGAACCTCCTGTCCGCTGAAACAACATTCCGATAATCGATTTTCAAAAACCGTCGGAGAGCCTCAGTGACTGCATCTCATGTAAAATTCGTGGAGCTTGTGCCAAAGCTCATACATCTTTCAGTAGCGTCGGGGTGCAGCCTGTATCACGCAAATGTCCAAAGGCTTTAGTTTGTTACTTCTGGTTTAATGGAGGTACGAATCGCTTAATTCAATGAAACCACGACAATCGCTAAAATTGGGCACATTGCATTTTGCGAAACAGACGATGTATATCGGGAAGATACATTTTTGATAGAATAAAAAAAATGCTTTTGTTAATTTTAAATTTCCTTTTTGATTTTTTTAGTGAAATAAATATTGCATAATATGCAGTACTATATCACTTTCACGTTTCAAAGCTATGAGGACCACACAGGTAATTATTTGATATCATTTGAACAAATAATTTAATAATTCGAAGGCTCAGAGTTGAGGTTATTTGTTACACATATTTTACCTGTACAGGTAGTTATTAATTCAATTTGCGTGAATGTAATTTCATTCTCATTATTCAGTATGATGTCTGTTTCCAGATCTGCTTTGAGGTTAAATTATGTAGTCTGCTCTGTCATTTCAAAAATAGGCAATTCGAGCAACCTACGAGATGTAAACTGTTATTTACTTTTACAAAATCAAGTATGTTTGAGTACTGAAATAGTGACGTTAAAAAATTAATCTTAGCTATATAACAATTTCAACCTTTATATATCAAATTTGGCTAGTCAGTTTGAGCGTTTGTATGTGCGTTTGTGGTACTACAACTGCATACAGTTTCTCATATTATTTATAACTGCCCCGCGATATTATACTACTACATAATACTGCAAATGTACTTTCAACTAGTAAAAGTTTCTTTCCACACCGAAACTCGAACACGCTGGAGCTCTACGATATAGAAACGCAATGATTTTTGAACTCGGGTCGGCGATTAAAAATGTAATTGTTGGTGCATAGGTAACCAAATTAATTCAAACTTGGTGCCACGCTTCGAATAGCTCAGTTTTGCTACTCTTGAAGGCATTTGACAAGAAAAGATCATTCATTTCAAACTTCCATCTTTCGGGAAAGACCGCGTATTCTTTCACAATTGATAAAAAAAATCATTTTTGTACAAAGGTCTTTGAAATTCACATTCAACTGCTACGAAAAATCACCAATTGATTGCACCATCTCCTGGACGGATACGACGAAAGATTTACTCGTTGTCAGATTTCTCGAAATCCATTTTTTTTCACATCAACTCGCATTGTTTGAAAACCAGAGAAGCTGCGACCGTACAGTACTAAGCAATACGCGTATTGGGCGCATTGAGAGTGTGGTACGTTGGCGGCAAGCAATTATCATGTAGTTTCTTTGAACCAGCGCTCTGAGATGCGGAGCGAAAACGCAGAAAGCATGAATGACGTGAAAGTCGTAAAGAGAACGTTTATTTTCGCACAGACAGGGGTAACCATTACAATCTCTTCAATACTCATTGATGTTTGCGGGTAAGTAATAATATTTGTCAATTATGAGTCGCTTTTTTCATAACTGTCTGGTCTAATGAGAACACAGAAGACGATGAAACTTCTCGTCGCAATTTCAGCTAATGTTCTCCCAATCATCTATGCAGTACGTTCGTAGGCTTCCGCGGCCAGAGTCAATACATTCTTGGCTATCCAAGATAAGCCGCATCTTGGTCAATTGTGCTGACGTTTCCGCCATCTTGCTGTGGCCTTCTTCAGAGCTATTCTGCTCGGGGATTTAACACACACTCCCCGTAGAAGTTCGTTATATGCGTTTGTATGCTTCCGCGGCCGGAGTCAATACATTCTTGGCTATCCGGGAGGAGCCACGTCGGTCAATTGTGCTGAAGTTTCAGCCATCTAGCTGTGGCCTTCTTCAGAGCTATACAATATTTCGCAGCCTCAACACTAATTGTCTCAAAATAATTTTTTTTCAAAAAATTGTACATGATAATTTGTAAAGAGATGGATTTTTTAAGAACGGATGTTTTTAAGGCAAATATCTACAATTTTGTTGTCTTGAAATGTTAACTTCTTGCAATTTTCGAAAATACGGTCGCTGAAAATGGAACTGGTACCATCTCTTTTATAGTTCCTTGGTACTTGTGAAGAGAAAATTTAAAGAAAAAATTTTGAGTGTTTTTAAGAAAGAATTGTTTAAAAAATTAAGCATTCCCTTTATTTCACGCAAATGTACACACTCTGATTGTTGAATGATGGATGTAGAATTAAGTTTCTTGCAATGGGGCATGTCGTGTCATCGTTTGACTTCGTCCCAACAGCATTACTTGTCGTGATATGACGTAATAAACTTGTTAGATCAAGTGTCATAACGTGACGAGATGTATGGCAAAATAGTTATGCACTTGTGTGTGACTTACAATTGAAGTAACCCGAGGTACAGTGAAATGTCATGATGTATAGTTGAGAGCGCGTCATGACATGCCATGATGCATGCAACCAAACATGTGTGACCATCAAAGACAACATCCATTTTTAATGTAATGCCTCTTAGAGATGGGTTATGGGCTCTAGGATTCGGGTCTCGACAGTAGGTTAGGCTTAATTCAGTTGGTGTTTGAGCTAAATGATAGAATACATAATTATCTGACGGTTGCTCTCATCGGTGATTTTACGAGGTTTTGTCGATTAATATTAGGTGAATACCGGAGCAGTACTGTCAAACATCCTGCCGCAGTCGGGACTCGAACCTTAGGTTCTCACGGTGAGAGGCACTGTAATGACAACATGATGTCCTAAGGCACCGAAGCTAGTGCTAGTGGGTTTGTATTTGGTCTTTTATTACGGTAATTAGTTTGGTGAGTGTGGTGTATGTTAGAGACGGAAAGTGACTATGTTTCCCTCCCGCTGAAACACGATATCCGGTGCCGACATATACGAGGATTTGCAGAAACGACTCCCAGAGTGACATGTGATTGCTCCAACACATATCAATACCAGCGAAGCACAACACTTATCGTGACAAGCTCTGTACTCCCCACTAGTATTTTTATGTGGTTAGTGTAGTGTATGTATGTGTGTACGTGTGAGGAAAGAGCAAGGGTTATGATAACAAAGGACAAAATCGTGCATGGTATATGACTCGTTTGTTAGAGTACTATATAGCTAGGACGAATTCAGTCGCTGACTGGTGGAAAATTCTAGCGATCGACTTCTTGGACCGGTAGTTGTCTGTGATTTCTCCGATTAACACTAGACGAATGCCGAAGCAGTACCCTAAAAAAGAGCAACAGACAGCGCGCGATATTCCCTTCCCCTTCCTTGTCCCATTACTTACAAAAACAATTAGATGCACTATTCTACCACTCATGTCAGGGCGCCTGGCGAGATCTTAGAGCTTGTCCAGGGTGCTCTGATGGTGGGAGACACCTGGTGAGGGGAAACTCGCAAACCGACGTTTAGGTCGGAACATAATCTCAACATCAAGATTACCGCCACGTCCTGCTCTAAAACATGCAACGCACTTTCGCGACCAATGGCCTTAGCGGTCGCCGCGCCCGTTAGGACCAATCAATCAACCAATCAATCAATGTGAGCCAGTGGCGTGCGCGTGCGCGTGTGTGTGTTGCAGAGAAGAGTCCGGCGCTGGAGGCGGAGCGCAGCTTCCAGGTGCTGCTGCACATGGCGTCGAACCCCGAGTGCCTGGGCATCGTGCTGCGGGGCCTGCTCGCGCACATCCCGTGCCTGCTGCGCCTCCTGCAGACGCTCAACGAGACGGCGCTGCACCGCAGCATGGCGGCGCTGCTGCACGCCGTTCTCAAGGTCAGGCGCTGCCTCACTCGCATCCCACTACGTGCGCCTGCTTTCGTTCATTTATGTGCAGTGAAACTTGTAAGAAACAATATGTATGTTTACTATAGGAATTTATGTAGGCATGTATGTGGAATTTTAGGGTCAGGTTAATGGCACTTTTGCCAGTTGTCGGTGTGCCCAGCTTATACCGTTTGTTTTATTTAATATCCATGCCTGGGGGTAAGGGAGATATGTGTCAAGCGTGACGTGTTATCAACATTACAACAACTATTGTCCCATATTACTAGATTTACTTGCATGTAAAATATCCTCAGAAGTCCAAATGACGCCTCTGAGCTAAATCCAAAATCGCCTGTTTCTCGCCCAAGAAATACCTCTTTCCTCAGTTAGTTGGTGAAAGGAGCGTAGCATAATCTGCGTGGTCAGACGGAAGAGCGGGCCTGATGGCCCGTGTCTCGCCACGTAAAATAAGGCATTAATTCAATTCAATTCAACAGCCTACTTAGGCTACTTTGTCTGAGTATTTTCTTTCATCTGGCAGCTACAGAAACAGACGATTCTTTTGTTACAGTGGTAGAGATTCATTGCTCTCCCGGCCGGGAATCGAACTCGTTCCACAGTCAGCCCCTCTCTCAGCAGGTCTGACCGAGGGAGCCTCTGATTTCACTGAGAAACGCATCGTGAAATTTATCTGGGCTGACCGGGTGACGCCGTGTCGATGGCTGAGATGCCGACGTTTCGACCGACGTATCGCGGTCCTCTGCAGGGCTGTATTGGCAGTACAGCCGTGAAGAGGACCGCGATATGTCGGTGAAAACGTAGGCACCTCAGCCATCTACGAGGCGTCACCCGGACTGCCCACATCATGACTCTGGCCGCGGAAGCCTACGACATCGCGCCGTGACATTACGTCAAAGAACTCAATATTTTTGTGTTGCATCACGACGCTACGTTACAATAAATTTCGTAACATAATATGACGGAACACATCACTTTCGTGTTGCTACAGAACGTGGAACTAAAATGTCCTGACATAAATGAGAGAATACGTAATTTATACGTTTCTACACGTAGTACATCACTTGCGTCTTTCTATGCAATGTGATACGAAATGTGGTGATATAATATGGCAGACGATATCTCTTCGATGGTTGTTACATGATGTGATTAAAAGAGGTGACATAATATTACAAAATTATAAATCACTTTCGTGTTTTTTATACGACGTGTCATTAAATGTCGTGTCATATTTTGACAGAGTACGTCACTTGCAAGTTGCTACATGACGGGATATAATATGACAGATCATATCGCATTCGTGTTGCTACATGACATGACACTAAATGTCGTGATGTAATACAAGAGGGGACATCACTTTCGTGTTGCTTACAGGTCGTGACATTAAATGTCGTTACATTATATCACAGAGTACATCATTTTCGTGTTGCTAGACGACCTTAAACTAAATGTCATGACATACGACAGACTACATCGCTTCCGTTTTATTACATGATTAAATGTGGTCGAAATACATCACTTGGGCGTTGCTACTCGACACCTCAAAGCGCCGTGGCCTGAGATGACGTGTGCTGTCGCAGACCGCCGTCGAGACGTACGGCGGCCCCGACACGGAACTCGAGACTGACTCCATCCCGCCGCCCCCGGCGTCGGCCGGCAGCCCACCGCCGCCGCCACCGCCCCCACCACCAGCGCCCCCTGGCGGGGCGTCGGCGGACGCGCCCTCGGCGGGACCCAGCACGCCGCCGGCGACGTCGCGGCGCCGCGAGCTGTCGGCGGCGCTGTGTCTGCTGCTGCGCGTGTGCCTCAGCCTCATCCACGGCGTGCACGACCTGCAGTTCACCGCCATGGTCACCATCAATAAGGTCATCGACGCGTGCGTCGTGCACCAGCTGGCGTACCTCAAGGTCAAGGCCAGCGCCGCTCTGCAACACCCGTGCCACGACAGGTGGGTTGGCACTTGGAATTGCTTGTTGTATTTTTTAATTTTTTAAAAATTTTTTGGTGCAGTGGATTAACGTTTTTATAGAACTGTTGAACACAAATTTAGCACATAGTACATATGGTATATTCAAATTCTCACATATAGGGGGTGTCTTCTCTCGGAACCTCTTCAATCATTCAACAGTGCAGAATTTTTTTATTTATTTGGAAGCCTTTTTTCAATATATAAATTAAAGCAGGGATGTAAGAGTTATAGGATTGGCTTAAGGTGTGCAAGATCATGATCGTGTTATGAGCGGGATTACGTTTGACATAATGGAAATGACGTCATGCACGTACAAATCTCTCCTCACAAATACATTAACTATGATTTTCTGATCAATTTAGATTCGAAGTACGAGCACGTCAGTGGAGCTCCACCTTCTGTGGCTACGCACTCTACAATTTATTCCTACGTAATAGTATTGAAACATTCAGCGTTGAACTCATCCTGGATTAATTTGTTGAAGAGTTCAAGGAAATTGTAACATATTTTCATACGTATCTTCATTTTCAATTCCGGGCGGATAAATCCATTTCTTTTGTGATCTTATAGTTTGCAATCAGCAAACGGGTTTAGCGTTCGAATAGCCCGCTAGTATTTTACTACGAATGCGAAAAGATGTGTAATTGAGAGAGAGTCGCAGTTGAATATTTCAACTGTGGAATTCAGACAAGCATATTTCTTCAGATACAGAGAAATGCGCAATCTGGCAAAGGAATTACTAAGGAAAAAGACAGGAGCAACTGGTGCACATGTACAACTCCTACACAAAAGTCATTTATTACTTTAACGCACAGTATTCTTGGGGAAAAGGGCTTCGGTTCAGAGCAAATACAATCTCAACATCACTCTTTTGTATGAAAACTGAATAATAAAGTATTGACAGAGTTTATAAAAGGAACATCTCGATACGTATTGGCGAAAAACGAAATTCACCGGCAATTATTGAAGGTCTAGAATATCTTTTATATTTTGAATAATTGCCGATTTTTTTGCTTTTACTAAACACGCTAAATAAAAATTCTAACAAGATATGATGTGGCAAATATAATCGTATAAACCAAATTACGAATATCCAATTACAAAAAAGCAATAACCAGTATAACTATTGGCTACTCGTATTGATCTTTCTTTTGTTACCTTAGAGAAAGCCCTTGACAACGCACAAGAGACCTTCAAAGGAACTTCAACTGTCAGTTACTCTTTAAAGGGAGAGTGAAAATATCAGATGATGTAATTTAAGCCAATGTGATATAAGCGATAGTGTGGAAAGGTTTATTTAAATTTCTCTCAAACTCCAGTATACTTAACGAACTGTAAAATCATGTTATGATAGAAATAAATGCTCTAATTCAAACTATTGATTCAAATATTTATTTCATTACCATAGCCTATGAAGTCAAAGTTTCATCTAGGAAAGCACATTCCAAACTAATTACGATCTGAAGTTTGAAACAAAAAAAACATTAAAATGAAGATCTAAATTGCGACCCACGTTCGCCCGAAATATTTCCGTTTCCAAACACAAAATAACCCTGCGCAAGGCTTGCTCGGAATTCATTTCGCGTAGTTGAGGTGCAAATTCCTAACCAGCGAGTTTCCCTGCGTTGCCTTAGGCATTGCTTGAGGATTATATGCAAATGCATTTTCCGTTTCGTATCCCACGCAAATCTTTTCATGGGTACGCCACTTTGAGTCCATGCTTGCGTACCAACCGCATTACGTTTTCAGCCCGAGGAAGATAAATGACCTGCGTTGCGTTACGTTTCTGAGATACATATTGAGATTGTACTAATCGTAGAAGACTGCATGGTAATTTGTTTTATTGATACGTCAATCTCATGTGTCCAGTCTTGGTTGTGGTAGGAAAAACATGAATATGTATAAGGCCATTGTAATCGTATGACAAAGAAAGGGAGTTAAAATAGTGAACAGTCGTATTGCATGCTAAATAGGAAACTCCATTTTGTGGTAGCTTGCAGTTTTTAGTGCTTCACTTTATTCCAGTTTTCCTTATAATTTGAGTTATGAAAAGTATGCGTTGACATTCATATTTTAAAATTTGTTTTCCTGCTGTTTATCAAGATTGCGATAATTCAGTTTTGGCAGACCTATATTTACCTTCAATTGTAACTTAAATTCCTGTTATATGTTTTTTCCTAAAGAGTAATCGGTTTACCACGCGTCATTTTAGCGCTAATATGTTGTCATCTTATCAATAATTATTTCAATTATGTTCAGTAAATTGAAATATTTCATTACAAAATGTAAAATTTCTTTGAAAAATATGTCTTCCGTTCAAAGGATAATCTACAATATCTTGATCCTGTCGTGCAAACGCTATCATGAATCTTATTGGAAACGTAGAATAGAAACATTGTAATATCAGCATTATTATATGGACTAATCGGACGAAAATTGAGTCAATGATATTTTCAACGATAGAATCTCAAAGATATGTGAGTAAAGAGACAATTCTTGTATGTTTGAAACGAAATAGAATGTAGTCGGTTACAGTTGTACTGTGTGGCCAAAGATTTCGCCTTTTGTTTAGTAGTCTTTCTTTTCAATCGAGTTTTCTTGCATGCGCTGTAACTGTCGACTCCGGTTATAGTGGGCTCGGATATAGTGAACCCTCGGTTATAGTGAACTTAAGTCACGGATCCCGTTTCACTTACATTAAAAAATAAGCGTAAGAAGATTCTGTTCTAAAGTGAACTGGAACCTCGGCTAGAATGAACGTAGGAAATACAAGATCCTGGAAATTAAATGAAGGTGGCGGACTTGGAATGGGGATCTTACTGATGACCTTATGCCACTCAGTTTCACTGCGAAAGAAAGGCAGGGAGCTGCGTGGGATAAAACTGGCGGCGGGAACACGGCTTTGCTTGCTTCAATTTCAAGCGTGGTGTTACTCGGGATATTCGCAAGGCAAGGCGCGTTGAGTTCTACGTAGGCGACAGGAAGCAGGCGACTGCCCCAGCATGGCGATATCCGCCGCGACGCGCGGAAAAGCGATCATTTTCATTACCTGCATGATACATTTGGATACAGAAAGCATCTCGTATGTTATTTGGGTAAAAGGATTTTCGGAGAGTGGGACAGTGTTACAACAGTGCAAGAGGCATTGAACGGTGTCAAAACTGCATTACGATACTTAGACAAAGAATAAATGTAGAATAAAGTATGGGAAGAGCACGAGCTGTGAAGAAGGATCTAGAGAAATTACTAATGAAGAAGTACAAGTAATCAATTGAACATATTTTATTTTTTAAAGGATAAATGAAGATGTTAAAATATTCAGTTTGTGCTATTAATGTATTTAGCTGTATCTCTATATTAATAAAATCAATCGTTATGGAGAAATTCTTTTTAATTTCGGAATCGACTTTATTTGCGTTCTACATCGTAGCGTACGCTGTACCTAGTCCGAGGAGTTGTTTGCATTCATTTTCGTTTGTATGTATGGTGTCGCATTTTTTTGTTCTCTGACACTCACAAAACTCGGTTACTTATTCAAATACTTTTTAGATGTGAGAGAACATTAATATTTCTCTTACGATTTCGGAACGACTGGCCAAATCTAAGTTATAAATAAGGTACGTTAAACCTCGTAGACTGTAGTATATAAAGTGTATTTTGTGGCCGTATCAGTAAAAATATAGTACCACTTTTTTTTATTTAAGGCCTCATTTACATCTAGGTCATTAGCGACCTCTATTGGATTTAACGCTTTGGTAACTGTAAAGATGACATGATATGGTGATGATAGGCGGTGAAAGGACGAACACAAATACAACCATGCCAAGCCATACTCCATCTCTTGACCCGAGATCGCTACGGCACCACTGCCTTAAAGAACTCGGCCAAAAGATCGGGTATAGTAACACTTTCGTACCTGGAATGTGAATGGAAAAACGAAAATACCCAGTCATCCAATTTTTTGATTTATCGAGAAATATATAGCTTATATTTCTCGATAAATGTACTCGAGAAATCGAGATTATTCAGAGAAAAGGAAACAAAACATTTGAGTTATCCATATTGGAGGTTCGAGTCTTCAAAGTTCTGATATTCGAGGTAGGGAAGTTCGAGATATAAAGTTTCGAGATACGGAGTTTCGAGAAATACGGAGCTCGAGATAACGGAAGCTTCGAGATAAAAGTCGGAGTACGGGAGTGATTACGGAGCTTCGAATACGGAGCTTCGAGATACGGAGGCTTCGATGATACGGAGCTCGAGATACGGAGCTTCGAGATAACGGAGCTTCGAATACGAGCTTCGAGATAGGAAGCCCTTCGAGATATACGGAGTTCGAGATACGGAGTTTCGAGATACCGGAGTTCGAGATACGGAGTTCGAGTCGGTTTCGAGATACGGAGAACGGTTTCGAGATACGGAGTTCCGAGATACGGAGTTTCGAGATCGGAGTTTTCGAGATACGGAGTTTCGAGAATACGGAGTTTCGAGATACGAGTCGGATAGTTTGAGATACGGAGTTCGAGATACGAGTTTTTCGAGACGGTCAGTCGGAGTTTCGCGAGGATTGAGACGGAGTTTCGAGATACGGATTCGAGATACGGAGTGATCAGTTTCGCGTAGCGAGTAGCGAGGTAGCACTTTAATTGAAAATAGGCACGGTATCGAGGTATAAAGGATCGAGGAATCGAGTTGTTGCTGTTCCCCATCTAACAAACGCATGCTGTTTCTCTAGTTCCTCACGTTGTGTCCCTTGGCCGGCGGGACAGCCAGCATGGGCTGGGCCGCTGGCGGCGCGGGCGGCGGCGTCGAGCGAGGCCGCGGGCGCGCGATCGCAGCCGCGGCGGCGCGCTGCGGCGGCCAGCGCGGGGGCGGCGGCGGGCAGCGGCGGCGGGCGGCGGGCCGCGCCTGGGCGCCAAGCGGCTGGGCTCCGTGTGGCGGCAGCGGGCGGGCGAGCACCTCGAGCAGGTGCGGCGAGCGCTCACCGAAGACACGGACCCGGAGGAGAGCCGTCATCGGTGAAGTGCGACGATGTTTTCAAAAACATTGCGTTTGTTGTAAAATCATCGATGTGTTTTAACATCGAGTTTTTGAAGCCGATATTTTTACATCCGTTTTGTGTGTTCGCTTTTTTACTTGGTTGAACTTTTTTAAATGAGAAAAGTAATATCTTCAAAGTTGCAAAATTCTATAATAATTTTCAGATATCCTTAGATTGAATATTCTTCAGATCCAAATGCTGATGGGTTAAAAATAATTTAAATTTTCTGGTTTTCGTCAATAAAAAAGCCTATGTTATTTTTGAATTTTTGAATAAAATAATCAAAATTTTCTTAATTATTCTGATGATTTTTTGACTTCGTTTCGGCACATAAATTTCATTTAAAAATTATTAAACCCTCCCGTTCCCCAAGTAAGCTTTATTAGAGAGTTTTTGCACGGCGTAGAGTTCCCCAAGTTATTGACTGCAATCTTGATCTGCGCATGCACATATGCACAAAAGCGATGCAAAATTTAAATGCGCAGATCGTTAGTGCTGTCGTTCACTGCAACGATTCGCCTTGAAAAAAATCGCTAATGGTTACTTATCCAATTGCTTATACAGTTTTAAAAACATCGATGGTTTTGCATCGATGCTATCATTTTGACCATTATGTTTATAAGCATCGATGCTTTGTTTTGATGTTGCAAACTATTTCTTTTCTCAGCTTAATAACCATTTATTTTACTTTCCCTATTTATTCAATGAGAAAAGTTTAATACATAATAGATCTTTAAATAATTCTAGTACATCTCTTTTTATGATACTGTATTGAGAAGAATACTTGTTTGCAGTCAACGTGTTCTTGTATGCAGTATACCTAATATTACTGTACGCTCTGAAAGGTTTACAATGTGTTGCAGCATTGTGGACGTTTTTCACTCAACCTCACACACGATATACTTAATCGTGTATGCGTGTTTGTAGATATGAATTGTTTGTTATTTAGCAGTTTCATCAAAGTTCATATTGTTACGATTAATTCTCAAGATTAGAAAACCATAAGCCCAAAGATTTTTTAAACAATTCTCAATTTAGCTGCTCGCCCACCAGACAATTAAGTTACACGTTTCCCTTCAGATTCTTTGTCAATAAAAATCCATTAACGTAACAAATATTTTCATAGAATTTTGAAGTTATGCTCGTAATTATCAAGGAAGACGTTTCAAACGCTGCCTGTGTGTATCATGGCTATATTCTTCTGTCCCCTACGCAAAGATGTGTTTAAGTATTGAAATACCTTTTAAATTCATAAGTGATCCGTTGAAAATTGTTTACTCGTAGTAAACTTTAAGCTTGTAGAATATCATTAAAGTGCCCAAATTTTAATCACGAGCTGAATGATAATTGGGGTAAAGCGTTCAGTTAAATTTCATGCGGATTTAATTAATGTACATTTTGACTCTGAAGTATCGCCGCGTTACCTGCGGTCGTCTCCGCTAACCACACCTTGCGTTTATCTGCCGCCCCCGTAGATGTGCTGTCCAGCGCCCACGCGCTGTCGGTGCAACTGTGTGCGCGCTCGCGCGTGTGGTGTGTTGTGTGTCGGTGTGGTTGTTGTGTGTGCGTGTGTGTGCTGCGCGCGGCGTGTGGTGGTTGTGTGTCGTGTGCTAGTGTGCTGGTGTGTCTTCCACCTGTTCACTCTGGCTGGTGAGACACTGGCTGGCGGACTGCCCACGACCCGCTTGTACAGCGTCGGGCTTGTGTGCAGGATGTTGAGCACCGGGACAGCGCGTGGCGCTGGAGCAGCACATCTACGGGGCGGCAGTAAACGCAAGGTGGTTCGAGACCCAGGTAGGATACTCAGAGTCAAAGTGTACATTAATTAAATCCGCATTGAAATTTTAACTGAACACTTTACCCCAATTATCATCAGCTCGTGATTAAAATTTGGGCACTTTAAATGATATTCTACAAGCTTTAAAGTGTTACTACGACGTAAACAATTTTCAACGATCACTTATTGAATTTAAAAGGTATTTCAATACTTAAACACATCTTTTGCGTAGGGGAACAGAAGAATATAGAGCCATTGATACACACAGGAGCGTTTGAAAGCGTCTTCCTTGATAATTACGAGCATAACTCAAAATCTATGAAAATATATTTGTTACGATAATGGATTATTTATTGACAAGACTGAGAGGAACGTCGACTTAATTGGTCTGGGTGCGGAGCAGCTAAAGTGAGTGAAGTGCGTTTAAAAAAAGTCTTTGGCTTAGGTCTTTCGAATCTTGAGAATTAAGCGTAACAATATGAACTTTGATGAAACTGCGAAAAACAAAGCAATTCATTATCCTACAGAAACACGCATATAGACGATTAAGTATAATATCGTGTGTGAGGTGAGTGAAAACGTCCAATGCTGCCAACAACATTGGTAAACCTTATCAGAGCGTACAGTAATATTAGGGTATACTGCATTACAAAGAACACCGTATGACTGCAAAACAAGTATTCTTTCTCATACAGTATTATAAAAGAGATGACTAGAATTATTTAAGCAATCTATTATTATTTAATTCTTTCTCATTGAAAAAATAGGAAAGTAAAATAATGGTTAGTTAAGTGAGAATATTTGACATAAAAAACTCGAGTTAACTGTAAAATTTACACTGAAACCAGAGTTTATGTATAACCAATTGCAAGTAACTTAATTTTTTCAAGGCAAATCGTTCAGTGAACGCAGCACAACGATCTGCGCATTTAAAATTTTCAGTCGGCTTTTGTGCAATCTGTGCATGCGCAGATCGCATGATTGGCATTCAAGTAACTTGGGGAACTCTACGCGTGCAAAAAAAACTCGTCTAATAAAGCTTACTTACCGGGGGTTACAATTGGGGGTCGTTTAATAATTTTTAAATTGAAATTTATGTTGCGAAACAGATGTCAAAAAATCATTCAGATAATAAGAAAATTTTGATTATTTTATTCAAAATTCAAAAATACATTAGGCTTTTTATTGACGAAAACCAGAAAATTTAAATTATTTTAACCCATCCAGCATTTGGATCTGTAAGATATTCCAATCTAAGGATATCTGGAAAATTATTAAGAATTTTGCCAATTTGAAGATATTACTTTTCTCATTTAAAAAGTTCAACCAAGTAAAAAAAGCGAACACACAAAAACGGATGTAAAATATCGGGCTTTCAAAATCGATGTTAAACACATCGATGAATTTTACAAACAAACGCAATGTTTTTGAAAACATCGTCGCACTCACCGATGACGGCTCTCCTCCGCGGTTCCGTGTCTTCGGTGAGCGCTCGCCGCACCCTGCTCGAGGTGCTCGCCCGCCGCCTGGCCGCCACACGGAAGCCCAGCCGGCTTGGCCGCCCAGGCGCGGCCGCCGCCGCCGGCCGCCGCTGGCCCGCCGCCGCCCCCCGCGGCCGCGCAGCCGCGCCGCCGCGGCTGCGACGCCAGCGCCCGCGGCCTCGCTCGACGCCGCCGCGCCGCGCCAGCGGCCCGCCCTGCTGCTGTGCCCGCGGGCCAAGGGGACACAACGTGAGGAACTAGAGAAAAGCATGCGTTTGTTAGATGGGAAACAGCAAACAACTCGATTCCTCGATCCTTTATACCTCGATACCGTGCCTATTTTCAATTAAACGGCTTACCTCGCTACCTCGCTAGCAAACTCGTACTCAACTCCGTTATCGTCGAACATCCGTATCTCGAAACTCCGGTCGAAACTCCTCGCGAAACTCCGACTCAACGTCTTCGAAAACTCGTATCTCGAACTCGCGTATCTCGAAACCGTAATCTCGTAATCTATCTCGAACTCCGGTATCTCGAAACTCCGTATCTCGAAACTCCGTATCTCGAAACTCCGTATCTCGGAAACTCCGTATCTGAAAGCTCCGTATCTCAAAGTTCCGATATCTCGCAAACTCGTATCTCGAAACTCCGTATCTCGAACTCCGGTATCTCGGAAACTCCTATCTCGAATGCTCCGTATATCTCGAAGGGCTCCGTATCTCGAAGCTCCGTATTCGAAGCTCCGTTATCTCGAAGCTTCCGTATCTCGAGCTCCAGTTATCTCGAAGCTCCGTATCTCCGAAGCTCCGTATTCGAAGCTTCCGGTATATCTCGACTGCTCAACCCGTATCTCCGAACTTTATATCTCGAATTCCCTACTCGAATATCAGAACTTTGAAGCACTCGAACCTGCCAAATATGGATAACTCAAGATGTTTTGTTTCCTTTTCTCTGAATATCTCGAATTTCTACGAGTACCATTTATCGAGAAGTATAAGCTATAATTTCTCGAATAAATCAAAAATTGGCATGACTGGGTATTTTCGTGTTTCCATTCACATTTTCCAGCGTACCGAAAAAGTGCTGTACTATATACCCATCTTTTGGCGAGGTTCTTTAAGCAAGTGGTGCCGTAGCGATCTCAGGGTCAAGAGATGGAGTATGCTTGGCATGGTTGTATTGTTGTTCGTTCCTTTCACCCCCTATCATCACCATATCATGTCATCTTTTACAGTTTACCAAAGGTTAAATCCCATAGACGTCGCTAATGAACCTAGATGTAAAATGAGGCCTATATAAAAAAAGTGGCTACTATATTTTTACGCATACGGCCACAAAAATACACTTTATATACACTACAGTCTACGAGTTTTAACGCCCCCCCCTCCCTTACCTTATTTATAACTTAATTTGGCAGTTTCGGTTCCGAAATTCGTAAGAGAAATATTAATGTTCTCTCACATCTAAAAAAGTTATTTGAAATAAGTAACCGAAGGATTGTGAGTGTCAGAGGAAACAAAAAAGTGCGACACCATTCATACAAACGAAAAATGGAATGCAAACAACATCCTTCGGACTTAGGTACACGGACCGCTACCGATGTAGGAACGCAAAAAAGTCGAATTCCGAAATAAAAAGAATTCTCCATAACGATGTGATTTATTAATATTAGAGATACAGCTAAATACATTAATAGCACAAACTGAAATATTTTTACATCGTTCATTTATCCTTTAAAAAAATAAAAATATGTTCAATTGAGTGACTTGTACTTCTTCATTAGTAATTTCTCCTAGATCCTCTCCACTGCTCGTTGCTCTCCGGCATACTTTATTCTACATTTATTTCTTTGTCTAAATCGCGT